AGAGAGGAAACCAATATTAAACCATACTTTGCACTACACATCTTCTCAAAATTTATAAATATGAAATCTTCGATTGCCAGGAATCGAACCAGGGTATCCTGGGTGAAAGCCAGATATCTTAACCGCAGGACGACAACGGAACGCTTTCATGGATTATCTGTTGAAAATCATGCTTTCATGGATTATCTGTTGAAAATCATCTTTTGAAAAATATTAACTTATAATTGTATGGTTTATATTTTAAAACCAACAAAGCTAAGTTGCGATGAACGTGGATCGAACACATGACTTTCAGATCTTCAGTTTGACACTGTCCCTACTGAGCTATCCCCACATCTCATAAAAACTTGACATTATTAATAAACGAACTTTTAGCTTTTAGTAACCTTAAGTTATTATGGTCCACATATTGCATCGCATAGTCATTATTGCGTCTTCACACTCTGATTAAAAGTTAAAACATAGCCATGATGATTATGTACATGAGAAACAAACCAATTTCATTACACTATACCAAATATCTCTTGTGAATGATTCAATTGTTACCACAAGCCAAATCCAATCATCTTTATTAACACCTCTATAATCAGGGACGGGGCCAGGATTTGTTGGTGTGGGGGGCCATTCACAATTTGAAAGAGAATAATTTTTTTTTTGAATGCTACTCGCTCTATTACAATGTAGTATCTGTTCATATACTTTCTCAACCTACTGAAACACAAAGAGCTAATAACGCCTCCACAGAGGCTCGAACTCACAATCTTCCAAATGGAAGTCCAACCCGGGTACCATTGGACCACATAGTCCTGGTGAAAGAGAATAATTAAATACATTAATATTCATTTAACATAGTCCAAAATACATCATTATATTATAAATTCTTGAGGGTAAAATTTCTCCACCAACTTGCAAACATCATCAATTCTAAATGATCAAGAGCCGTGAGCCGTCAGTCCACAAGGAATCACCATTAACCAAAGAGCAAAAATTTCTTAAATATGGGTAATTCACATATAAACATTGTCAGAACCCTTTAAACAAATTCAAATCAAAAGTGTGGATCAATAAGAAAAAAATTCATTAATTTTAGAAAAATGAATCCGGGAAACAAAAAAAGAATAAGAAATATGAAGCCTGTTAGACAATATGTGATTGTGTATGTTCAAGAAGAAGAAATCATATTCTTGGCAAGGCCAGTTGCGAATCAAATGGCAAATTATGCTGTGGAACCGTGTCCACCTTGTAAGGTGGACATTGTTCCAAAACTATTCATAATTATGAATATATAGTTCAAAAGTTATGAACATATAGTTCTATAATTATGAACATAGAGTTGTGAACATAATTATGAACATATAATTCTGTAGTTATGAATATAAAGATTAAATAATTGTGAATATGAAGTTCAAAAATTATGAATATATAGCTTTATATTTATGAATACATAGTTCTGTAATTATGAACATAGAGTTCCGTAATTGTGAATATATAGTTTAATAATTATGAATATGAAGTTCAAAAATTATGAATATATAACTTTATAATTATGAACATATAGTTCAGTAATTATGAATATAAAATTGTGTCCACAACATAACTATTGGAATCAAATAAGATTTTGAAATCTTAGCCTGAAAGTTTTTGTTTGGAGAATAAAAATACTTTGGTGAGGGGCGAAGGGGCTACAAACAATAATAATATACTACTAATAATTTTTTTTGGAGGGGGGAGGGGGGCCAAGGGCCCAAAGCCCCAATTACCTTGTTCCTCTAAATCTTCTGCCAATACCAGTGTTAATAAAAGAAATTTTCTTTGGGGGGGCCAAGGCCCCCTGTATTTAGCATGTTCGTCCGTCCCTGTCTATAATTATTATAATGTCTAATGTAAGCATAAAAAACTGTGACATTTCCTTTCATCACATATATGTATCTAATTATACCTAAATGTTTTTATATTTGGAAAATTACCCGAGTATATATCCAAATTACTAATTACTAAATTCTCAATTCTCTTGCTAAATCCCAATTTTTTTTTCTATTCGACACTTAGATTGCTATCTTGTAATTTGAATTAAGTTTTGTGTTATGTTTGGACATTGGATTTTTAAATATGTAGTGTTGTCTTGTTGTTTGGACTCATTATTGATTGAGGAATTTGAAATATGCATCGTTGACGTGTTGATTCGATTTTAAATTTTTAATTAATAAAAATTAATTAGTTAATTAATTGCGACGAAAGAACAAGAGAATGTTAATGTTCTCTAATTGAAAGAACCAAACTAAACTACAATGTTAAATAGAATGGTTTCGGATTTTCGAAACTTAAAAAATATAAATCAAACCAAGAAAAAAAAAAGGACGCTAACTATAAATCGAAATTCCGACCCCTAATTGAAGGTTCTTTTAATTACTATAATTACAATTTCATTATGTAAATTTACAAGTTTATCAAGATATTATTGCATGTTCGTTAAATTACTATTTCAAGCCGATTAAGTCACTACTGCAAGTCCTTTGAAAAAAAAAAAAGTAACTCCTACAAGTTCATTAAGTCATTTATGCTCGTCCATCAAAACATTATTACTTGTTCATTAAATTACTATTGCATAGTCATTAAGCCACTATTGTAGATAACGTAAGTCATCATAGGTCATCTATATTATTAATATTTCACACATTTATTGTAAGAATATATTGAAAAAATATATAGCAATATGAGTGAATTTATAATATCTCTATGAGATATTTTTAACGATATTACTTTGATAGATTGATTTTATTTATAAAAAAAAGGAAAAAAGAAAAATGTATTTAAGCAATGTTTAGTTTATTATATTGGCAAGAATAACTAGGGAAGCAAACCCGAGACATCTAAACAAATACACGGGACATACCCACAGAGAAAGCCAATATTAAACCATACTTTGCACTGCAAATCTTCTCTAAATTGATAGTTATGAAATCTTCCGTTGTCGAGAATCGAACCCGGGTCTCCTGGGTGAAAGCCAAATATCCTAACCGCTGGACGACAACGGAACACTTCCATGGATTATCTGTTGGAAATCATCTTTTGAAAAATATTAACTTATAATTGTATGGTTTATATTTTAAAACCGTCAAAGCTAAGTTGCGGTGAATGTGGATAAAACACGTGACCTTCAGATCTTCAGTCTGACGCTCTCCCAACAGAACTATCCCCGCATCTCATAAAAATTTCACATTCTTAATAAACGAACTTTTAGCTTTTTTTAACCATAAGTTATTATGATCCACATATTGCTTCGCATAGTCATAATTGCGTCTTCACACTCTGCTTAAAAGTTAAAACATAGCCATGATGATTATGTACATGAGAAACAAACCAATTTCATTACACTACACCAAATATCTCTTGTGCATGATTCAATTGTTACCACAAGCCGAAGCCAATCATATATCTTTAATAACACCTCTATCTACAATTCTAATAAGAGCCAATAATGTTAGGCCCCTTAACTGGAACAAAAAAATGTCGGTCCTATTGTTTCTTAAAATGAATGATTCATATTATACTATTGTTTTTTAAAATGAATGGTTCATATTATTTTTATTTTAGTATTTTTTATTGATTTTCCTTATTTACCCTCTATTATATTATTTTCTTACCTTAAATAACTTAAATTCCGTTAGCATAAACTTTAGTAACGGAATATTCCGTTAAGTATTTATTATTTTAACTTACACATTAATTTCTATAAGATTATGTCTACAGGCTCTGATACCAATTGAAATTAAACCGTGACACTTGAAAAATAAATGCAATGCGTTTTTACTCGTTAATTAAGTTATGCACCAGTTTCGTTAATTAATTAACTCGTTTAAGCAAGTCTAAATAATAACTGCAGAAAGCATAAAGTAATTTAAAAACACAAAGAAATTGTTACGCAGTTCGGAGCTCCTTCTCCTACGTCTACGGGGCAACCCACGTCTGCCCAATCCACTATAGATGTTCACCAAAAGGTGTATTACAAGAGGTAAATATAGATGGCCTCCAGCCTTTACCACTACCACTCTTTCTAACACCTATCCAGGACTGACACACGAATACCCGAACAATCTTCACAAGATACTTCAACAGTACCACGTGCTAGTCATGTAGTACAGATTAAATATTCTTAAAGATTAAAAATGGAACATATGAAAATATGAAGCTATGTAAATCAGATGTGTGATCAGAATCTTAATCTCCAAAATCAGCAATGTCTTCTTTCGAACAGCACCTTTTTATAGCAGATGTTGAGCTTCATTTTGTGATCCTTAAATGTAGCCATTTTCCTTGTTCGAATAACCTCAGCCACATTCTTTTAATTCTTTGAAACCTTCATACGTAGACTTCATTCTCCAAGGCATGCCATCCACACATTTAAATATCACATGGTCCAAAATAGAATTAACACTAATAACTCTAATTAAATTCTTTAATTAAAAACTAATAAAGCTACTACTAAATAAAATAGCCAATAAGTTTAATGTGTAAATAATTTTACACTTACAATAATATTTCACAAATTTATTGTAAGAATATATTGCAAAAATATATAGCAACATGAGTGAATTTATAATATCTCTATGAGATATTTTTAACGATATTACTTTGATAGATTGATTTTATTTATATAAAAAAAGGAAATAAAGAAAAATGTATTTTAGCAATGTTTGGTTTATTAGATTGGCGAGAATAACTAGGGAAACAAATCCGAGACGTCTAAACAAATACAAGGGACATACCCAGAGAGAAAGCCAATATAAAACCATACTTTGCACTACAAATCTTCTCCAAATTAATAGATATGAAATCTTCCGTTGTCAGGAATCGAACCCGGGTCTCCTGGGTGAAAGCCAAATATCCTAACCGCTGGTCAACAATGGAACGCTTCCATAGATTATCTGTTGAAAATCATCTTTTGAAAAATATTAACTTATAATTGTATGGTTTATATTTTAAAACCATCAAAGCTAAGTTGCAGTGAACATGAATCGAACACATAACCTTTAGATCTTCAATCTAACACTCTCCCAACTGAGCTATCCCTGCATCACATAAAAACTTGACATTCTTAATAAACGAACTTTTAGATTTTTGTAAACATAAGTTATTATGATCCAAATATTGCTTCGCATAATCATTATTGCATCTTCACACTCTGATTAAAAGTTAAAACATAGCCATGATGATTATGTACATGAGAGACAAACCAATTTCATTACACAACACTAAATATCTCTTGTGCATGATTCAATTGTTACCACAAGCCAAAGCCAATCATCTTTAATAACACCTCTATAATTATTATAATCTCTTATGTAAGCATAAAAAACTCTGACATTTCCTTTCTTCACATCTATGTATCTAACTATACCTAAATGTTTATATATTTAGAAAATTACCCGAGTGTATATACTAATTACTAATTACTTAATTCTCAAATCTCTAGCTAAATCCCGATTTTTTTTCTATTCAACACTTAGATTGTTATCTTGTAATTTGAATTAAGTTTTATGTTATGTTTGGACATTGGATTTTTAAATATGTAGTGTTGTCTTGTTGTTTGGACTCATTATTGATTGAGGAATTTGAAATATGCATCGTTGACATGTTGATTCGATTTTAAATTTTAAATTAATAAAAATTAATTAATTAATTAATTGCGGCTAAAGAACAAGAGAATGTTAATGTTCTCTAATTGAACGAACCAAACTAAACTACAATGTTAAATAGAATGATTTCGTATTTTCAAAACTTATAAAATATAAATCAAACCGAGAAAAAAAAAAAAGGACGCGAACTATAAATCGAAATTCTGACCCCTAATTGTAGATTCTTTTAATTACTATTATAACAATTCCATTAAGTAAATTAACAAGTTTATCAAGATATTATTGCATGTTCGTTAAATTACTATTTCAAGTCGATTAAGTCACTATTGCAAGTCCTTTATAAAAAAAAAAAAAAAAGTAACTCCTACAAGTTCATTAAGTCATTTATGCTCGTCCATCAAAACATTATTACATGTTCATTAAATTACTATTGCATAGTCATTAAGCCACTATTGTAGGTAACGTAAGTCATCATAGGTCATCTATATTATTAATATTTCACACAATTATTGTAAGAATATATTGAAAAAATATATAGCAACATGAGTGAATTTATAATATCTCTATGACATGTTTTTAACGATATTACTTTGATAGATTGATTTTATTTATAAAAAAAGAAAAAAAGAAAAATGTATTTAAGCAATGTTTGGTTAATTATATTGGCAAGAATAATTAGGGAAGCAAACCTGATATGTCTAAACAAATACACGGGACACACCCAAAGAGAAAGCCATTATTTATTCATACTAACAAATACACGGGACACACCCAAAAAGAAAGCCAATATTTAATCATACTTTGCACATCTTCCGTTGCCGGGAGTCAAACCCGGGTTTCCTGGGTGAAATCTTCCATTGTCGGGAATCGAACCCGGGTCTCCTGGGTGAAAGCCAGATATCCTAACCTCTGGACGACAACGGAACACTTCCATGGATTATCTATTGATAATCATCTTTTGAAAAATATTAACTTATAATTGTATGGTTTATATTTTAAATCCATCAAAACTAAGTTGCGGTGAACGTGGATCGAACGCATGACCTTCAAATCTTCAGTCTAACGCTCTCCCAACTGAGCTATCCCCACATTTCATAAAAATTTGACATTCTTAATAAACGAACTTTTAGTTTTTTGTAACAATAAGTTATTGTGATCCACATATTGCTTCGCATAGTCATTATTGCATCTTCACACTCTGATTAAAAGTTAAAACATAGCCATGATGATTATGTACATGAGAAACAAACCAATTTCATTGCACTACACCAAATATCTCTTGTGCATGATTCAATTGTTACCACAATCAAAGCCAATCATCTTTAATAACACCTCTATAATTATTATAAAGTCTAATGTAAGCATAAAAAACTTTGACATTTCCTTTCATCACATATATGTATCTAACTATACCTAAATGTTTTTATATTTGGAAAATGACCCGAGTATATATCCTAATTACTAATTACTAAATTCTCAATTCTCTACCTAAATCCCAATTTTTTTTTTCTATTCGACACTTAGATTGCTATCTTGTAATTTGAATTAAGTTTTATGTTATGTTTGGACATTGGATTTTTAAATATGTAGTGTTGTCTTGTTGTTTGGACTCATTATTGATTGAGGAATTTGAAATATGCATCGTTAACATATTGATTCGATTTTAAATTTTAAATTAATAAAAATTAATTAATTAATTAATTACGGCTAAAGAACAAGAGAATGTTAATGTTCTCTAATTGAATGAACCAACCTAAACTACAATGTTAAATAGAATGGTTTCGTATTTCCAAAACTTGAAAAATATAAATCAAACCGAGAAAAAAAAAAGGATGCGAACTATAAATCGAAATTCCGACCCTAATTGTAGGTTCTTTTAATTACTATTATTACAATTCCATTAAGTACATTTACAAGTTTATCAAGATATTATTGCATGTTCGTTAAATTACTATTTCAAGTCGATTAAGTCACTACTGCAAGTCCTTTGAAAAAAAAAAAAAGGAACTCCTACAAGTTCATTAAGTCATTTATGCTAGTCCATCAAAACATTATTACTTGTTCATTAAATTACTATTGCATAGTCATTAAGCCACTATTGTAGGTAACGTAAGTCATCATAGGTCATCTATATTATTAATATTTCACACATTTATTGTAAGAATATATTGAAAAAATATATAGCAACATGAGTGTATTTATAACATCTCTATGAGATATTTTTAACGATATTACTTTGATAGAATGATTTTATTTAAAAAAAAAAAAAGAAAAAAAAAGAAAAATGTATTTAAGCAATGTTTGGTTTATTATATTGGCAAGAATAACTAGGGAAACAAACCCGAGACGTCTAAACAAATACACGGGACATACCCAAAGAGAAAGACAATATTAATCCATACTTTGCACTACAAATCTTCTCTAAATTGATAGATATGAAATCTTCCGTTGCCGGGAATCAAACCCGGGTCTCCTGGGTGAAAGCCAGATATCCGAACCGCTTGACGACAAAGGAACGCTTTCGTGTATTATCTGTTGAATATCATCTTTTGAAAAATATTAACTTATAATTGTTTGGTTTATATTTTAAAACCATCAAAGCTAAGTTGCGGAGAACGTGGATCGAACACGTGACCTTAAGATCTGCAGTCTGACGCTCTCCCAACTAAGCTATCCCCGCATCTCATAAAAACTTTACATTCTTAATAAATGAACTTTTATCTTTTTGTAACCACAATTTATTATGTTCCACATATTTCTTCGCATAGTCATTATTGCATCTTCAAACTCTGATTAAAAGTTAAAACATAGCCACGATGATTACGTTCATGAGAAACAAACTGTTTTCATAACACTACACCAAACATCTCTTGCGCATGATTAATTTGTAACCACAAGCCAAAGCCAATCATCTTTAATAATACCTCTATAATTATTATAATCTCTTATGTAAGCATAAAAAACTCTGACTTTTCCTTTCTTCACATCTATGTATCTAACTATACCTAAATGTTTTTATATTTAGAAAATTACCCGAGTGTATATACTAATTACTAATTACTTAATTCTCAAATCTCTAGCTAAATCCCGATTTTTTTTTTCTATTCGACACTTAGATTGCTATCTGGTAATTTGAATTAAGTTTTATGTTATGTTTGGACATTGGATTTTTAAATATGTCTTGTTGTTTGGACTCATTATTGATTGAGAAATTTGAAATATGCATCATTGACATGTTGATTCGATTTTAAATTTTAAATTAATAAAAATTAATTAATTAATTAATTGCGGCTAAAGAACAAGAGAATGTTAATGTTCTCTAATTGAACGAACCAAACTAAACTACAATGTTAAATAGAATGATTTCGTATTTTCAAAACTTAAAAAATATAAATCAAACCGAGAAAAAAAAAAGGACGCGAACTATAAATCGAAATTCCGACCCCTAATTGTAGGTTCTTTTAATTACTATTATTACAATTCCATTAAGTAAATTTTCAAGTCGATTAAGTCACTACTGCAAGTCCTTTTTAAAAAACGAAAAAGTAACTTCTACAAGTTCATTAAGTCATTTATGCTCGTCCATCAAAATATTATTACTTGTTCATTAAATTACTATTGCATAGTCATTAGGCCACTATTGTAGGTAACGTAAGTCATCATAGGTCATCTATATTGTTAATATTTCACACATTTATTGTTTGAATATATTGAAAAAATATATAGCAACATCAGTGAATTTATAATATCTCTATGAGATATTTTTAACGATATTACTTCGATAGATTGATTTTATTTATAAAAAAAAAAAAGAAAAATGTATTTAAGCAATGTTTGGTTTATTATATTGGCAAGAATAACTAGGGAAGCAAACCCGGCACGTCTAAACAAATACACAGCACATACCCCGAGAGAAAGTCAATATTAAATCAAACTTTGCACTACAAATCTTCTCTAAATTGATATATATGAAATCTTCCGTTGCCGAGAATCGAGCCTGGGTCTCCTGGGTGAAATCTTTCGTTGCCAAGAATCGAACCCGGGTCTCCTGGGTGAAAGCCAGATATCCTAACCTTTGGACGACAACGGAACGCATCCATGGATTATTTGTAGAAAATCATGGTTTATATTTTAAAACCATTAAAGCTAAGTTGCGATGAACGTGGATTAAACACGTGACCTTCAGATCTTTAATCTAACGCTCTCCCAACTGAGCTATCCCATCATTTCACAAAAAATTGACATTCTTAATAAACGAACTTTTAGCTTTTTGTAACCATAAGTTATTATGATCCACATATTGCTTTGCATAGTCATTGTTGCGTCTTCACACTCTGATTAAAAGTTAAAACATAGCCATGATGATTATGTACATGAGAAGCAAACCAATTTCATTACACTACACCAAATATCTCTTGTGCATGATTCAATTGTTAC